GGTCTGATGCACGATTAAGCCGATGTTGACCATCACAATGACACCTGCTCACAGGCTTGGGCCTCTACACTCCTCTACAGTAGTGTAGGGTGTAGGGTGTAGGGTGTAGGGTTTAGGGTTTAGGGTTTAGGGTTGGGGGCCATGGGATTCCTCTGGGGTGGGCAGGGTCTTACCGGAAACCCCCGGCTATCATCTACAGTGGGGTAGAGTTTAGGGCGTAGGGTGTAGGGTGTAGGGTTTAGGGTGTAATTAGGGCTTAGGGGGGCTTAAGATTCAGCAGCTCCGGTTCGAGCAGTCTCTTCGAGCTTGGTGCCTCGGGCTAGGGAAATACCCACCCACCAGAGAACCCCAAAACATTTAGAAATACAAGCCTTGCCCACGAATTTTCGGGCCTTGGAATTTTCGGGCTTTGCACACGAACTTCATTAGGGTTTCATACTTTCTGATAGAGAAGGTTTAGGTTTAGGGTTTGCTGCAACATGGCGCAGGTGCTATGGAGTTTGGGATGCGGAACTAGCTCGAAAGTTTCATGAGGTGCGAAGAGCGGCTCTGGCCCATTTGTGGAGGGCCATCTAACATACTGCCACCCCACGCCGTCCAAGGCGGCAAATGCACCCAAACCCGTTCCTTTTGGGGTTTAGGCCGAAACTCAATTAAACCCTAAGCCCTAAACCCTAAACCCTAAACCCGAAACCCTAAACCCTAAGGTTTATCCTGACCTCGGGCTTCATGATAGTTGCGTTTGGGGTCCCGGGTCCTTGGGAGGGGGGGGGGGGGGGGGGGCCCAGGGGTCATCCCATAAAGGGTGGTGCCAGGGCTGGGTTTAGGGTTTAGGGTTTGGGGTTTAGGGTTTAGGGTTTAGGGTTTGGGGTTTAGGGTTTAGGGCTTAGGGCTGAGAGTTTAGGGTTTAGGCGGGTTTAGGTTTAGGGTTCCGGTGGGCGAACGACCTGGATCGGCTTGCGCCACGAGGTCGAGGGTTTGGGGTTTAGTGTTTAGGGAACTTGGTAAGAAAGCGATGAAGCAGGTAGTAATTCGGATAACCCAACGTGCAGTCCTTAGAGCTGAAGAAGCCTAACCCTAAACCCTAGACTTTTGTGGGGAAGGGAGGGCGGGCGGGGGGAGAGATCGTCAAATGAAGTCCAGGCACCAATGATAATGTCGAAGATCGGATTGAGAACCTGGAGGTGGATGGAGAGTTTTGTTCTTCGGGTTTTGGGACTTGGGGTGAGGGGCATTAAGTGCCTGAAGCATTCTATTCTAGGGTCTAGAGTTTGGCATTTAGGATTTAGGGTCATTACATGCCCGCAGAATTCTTCAGGTGTGGGCAGTTCTGCACGTTCTGGGCCCTTTTGGGGCACCCTAATGCAATGCAGGCGGCCTGGCGCCATACCCTAAGACCCCTAGTGGTATCTGATGCTCCCGCCCCCTCCCTCCCACCGGATAACACCCTAAACCCTAAACCCTAAACCCTAAACCCTAAACCTTAACTCCTAACCCCTAACCCCTAAGCCCTAACCCCTAAACCCGAAACCCTAAACCCTAAACCCTAAACCCTAGCCCCAACATCTGCCCTGGCGGCAGTGGCGGCAGCTGTGCGCCGGCGGATCGACCATTCCATTGGAAAGTCGTTCCTCGTGCCAGCCGCCCCCAAACCCTAAACCCTAAACCCTGAACCCTAAACCCTAAACTCCTAAACCCTAAACCCCAAACGCCTGGCTTAGGGCTTAGGGCTGAAGAGCTCTTCGCTCCAAAGACAGCTGCTGCGCCAATCCAACTTTCTAAAAATTGCCAGGGCCCCAAGATGCAGAGCTTACGGGCCTGGGGTTTAGGGTTTAGGGCGAAGGGTTTAGGGCCTGAAAACCTGAACCCTAATTAATCGAACAACCCAACCTTTTTCACAACCCGAAGTCCAAGCTCGAAAGTCCAAACGCCAACGCTCGGGACTCCACCCAAAGCTGCGCCCCGTGAGCCGGGTTCCGCAGAAGCATGGTCCCTAAACCCTAAACCCTACACCCTACTAAGCCCCTACTAAGACCTACTAAGCCCCTACTAAGCCCTACTGAACCCAACTAAACCCTACTACACCCTTCTAAACCCCAAACCCCGAGCCCTAATCCCTTCCCCCTTATATTAAATGCACCCCTAATGATAAAAACACTTTCCGGAAAATCCTGCCGAAACCGACCCCGCCTTTTAAACCCAATTCCGAATTAGGGGGGTGGTTCAGGCCTCCAATAAACCCCTCAACACCAATAAAACCCTCAGATGGTTTAGGGTTGGGGGTCTAGGTTAAGAGTTTAGGGGTTAGAGCCCTTATGACATTTCGATAAGAATACCCCCTAATTATAAAACCAGTTTTCGAATTTTTAAAGGGGGGGGGGGGTGGCCCCCCCGTTTAATATTAGGGGGATGGGATTAAACCCTAAACCAACCCTAAACCCTAAACCCTAGTCCCTACTAGTTAAGCAACCCTCCCTGGCCCTTGCCGTCCTTGAGAACTCGCCAAGCTCCATGCTGGACCATTGGCTGATGCGCTTGCTGGAAAACACTGTGCCTGCGACACAGACCCTAAACCCCTAAACCCCTAAACCCCTAAACTCCTAAACCCCTAAACCCCTAAACCCTAAGCCCTAAACCCCCTAAACCCCAAACCCTAAACCCCTAAACCCCTAAAACCCTAAACCCCCTAAACCCCAAACCCTAAATCCCAAACACACATTAAAACCCTAAAACCCCAAAAACCTCAAATCCCACAACCCCACAAAGGACTGAAAACATGCCATGGCCCTGGGATCTCCAAAGCGGAAATGAAAAGCCCTAAACCCTAAACCCTAAACCCTAAACCCTAAACCCTACACCCTAAACCCTAAACCCTAAACCCTAAACCCTAAACCCTAACATGTTCAGCCCTAAGCCCCGCAAGGGAGACCCGAAAGCATTCAACTCTCCAAGAAACCCTAAACCCTGAACCCTAAACCCTTAACCCTAAACTTTAAACCCTAAACCCCAAACGAAAGGTTGATATCTATTTTGAACTGATATCCCGTGCTTCAACCCTAACCCTGAAGCCTAAACTACCCTAACCCTAAACCCTAAACCCTGAACCCTAAACCCTAAACCCTAAACCCTAAACCCCACACCCTAAACCCTAAACCCTAAACCCTGCATTGTCCGCCAGGATCCCTCGACAGCCTTCATGAGAGAATTTCTTCGAGAGGGACCCAAGAAGAGGCCCTACCTTCGAGCACCCCGCCCGCCGCCCCGCCATCTCAAGCTGAGGTTTAGGGTTTAGGGTTTAGGGTTTATGGTTGTCTACATGCTCAAGTGCACCTTGTATCCAAGAAGTCAGCCTCCGGACTACTTAGCCATTGAGCGCCCCACCCTCCCCCCGCCCCCCCCCTCCCCCCGCCCCAACAACAACAAAACAAATCCCAAAAGCCCGAGACCCTAAACCCTAAACCTTAAACCCTAAGCCCTAACCCCTAAGCTCTAAACCCTAAACCCTGAAAGCCCTATAAACCCTCTTGGAGGATGCCTAGACTTCGAGTCTTGGTGACGTCAGTGATGACTGCGCCGGGGTCATCGTTGTTCTGGCTGTCTTCGCTGATATGCATTGCAGCAAAGAGACAGGAAGCGGATTTCAAGCTTATCAACTTATGGTAGCCCAGGAACCCTAGCCTTATAAAGGTACCCTTTTTGGGGTGGGGTTACGTTATAAGGGAACCTTGAACCAAACAAATGGAAAAGCGTACCACTGGGCTACCAAGTAAAGCACGTCTTATGTCCGTCGCTTGCTTTGCTTTGGGACACCAGGTGGACAAGGGGCTGGGTCTGCCAGCACACGGGCAACTCAACATCTGGCAGAATCTAGATCTCAACCAACGTGTGCATGGCTTTGGACCTCTGTCAGGCTAAACACGAACACAGCATGTGCACCTACGAACCTGTGTCAGTAATGGCTGCTGGCGCACGGTTGGCCTGGAGCCGCCGAGGCGCAGGAAGCTTACTCTTGGTGAAGCATGGAAAGAAGAAATGAAGGCAGGATGACTAGTATTGCTACGGATACTCCTGCATGCATTACGCCTTACCAAACAATACTGAAACAGTAAGGAAGGTCGTCGCACTGTTGGGCTGCCAAACACTAATCACAAACGACCCAGGAAGCAGCCCTGCATTCCTGACACCCCCCTCCCCCCTGTCCAAAACAAAAAGCAACTGTAGTAAACACCCTTGAAGATACCCCACATACCATTTTCACACACCAATTCAATAAGGAGGGTAGGGTTTAAGTAGGGGTTAGGCTTAAAGTAGGGTTTAAGGGTGAGAGTACTTGGGTTTAAGAAGAGTTTGGGGTTTGGAGGACTAGGCTCAAGTAGGGCTCACCTTGCACTACGTTCGTGTGATCCTGACGATAACCTCACTTGCCAACCACCTAACAGTGCTCCCTAGGCCCTAAACCCTAAGACTCGGCCCTACTTGCTCTGCTCCCAAAGCCCGACGCGCAGGAAGATGAACTTTAATTGTTGTGGATCGCACATTCGGGGAGCCTAGAAGCACCGCAGACCCTGAATACTGAACACTGCGAACTGCTAGGTGAGTTTACTGTGTCTGTAATCTTGCGAAGTTCAGGGTGCAAGGATTGAGGTCGAACACGCTAGACCCTCAACTGACCCTCAGTCCCAAAACTTGCAGTTTGCAGCAAAAGTAGAGGCTTTACAAGGCTTGGGGCTTAGGAACGGTGTAGGCTTCAGGGCTCCCAGCAAACACCTACTTGGGGGATGGAGGGGAGTAAATGCTTCTAAAGCAAAGTTCTCTTGGAACCCTCAAAAACTCAAACCCCCGTTGAACTACTTGCGAAGCCCCCCGATACCCCAACCCTAAACCCTAACCCTATAACCCTATAACCCTATAACCCTAAACCCTAAACCCTAAACCCTAAACCCTAAACCCACCCACTTGCAACGTTTCCCAAGATGGCCGAAGGGACTTGGGAACCGGACTCTCCGGTGCACTCAGCGCCCGCTTCGCAGCGCGTCTGGTGGCTTGAGGGTTGATGGGTGATGGGTTTTAGGTTTTGGGTTTAGGGCTTAGGGTTTAGGGTTTAGGGGAACTTCGTCAGAAGGATCCCGAAGTAGGGGTAGAGTACCCGAAGTTCGGAAATTCTCAACTACAGCCTAACTCTTTGGTTCGCGGAGCCCTTGAAGTAGGCGTTTGGGGATGTTCTTCCGTCTTAGCCGGTACTTCGGATGTGGGTGCCCGACATATCCCTTATAAAGGGTTATGTAGACGGGGGGATTTTGATGTTCCCCCTTATACTAACAGTCCTTAATTGGGATTGTGTACCCCTATTACAATCCCGATTAAGGACTGCTAGTATAAGGGGGAACATCCCAAAGGGGGATGCTGTAAGGTTCCGAATACCCGAGTTCCCTAGTTCCCCTGCAAAGAACGAAGAAGTTTTGAGCTTGCGGTTTTGGTGGGTTCCGGGCCTTGCAACCTGTGGGATTTACGTGTTAAAATGCGCGGGTCTGGGACTCTTGGTGTTTTTGAACCCTGCGGCTCAGTGTCTTTAGGGCTTAGTCTTAAGGTAGTTACATGGTCCCTTAGTATGGGAGGAGCATATTAAGGGCTTTTCGAACTACGTTTAGATTTAGGCATTAAGGCTTGCGGTTTAGGACTTCCTGTGGTGGAGGAGGCTGTCGGGGGCAAGGCCGGGCGGGGGCCCACGCGCTTCGAGTTCGGCTGAGAGGGAACATCAGAAGGTATCGAGTTCTGGGACGTAAGAAGCGATATTGTTTTCAAAAAGGCTTATAAGGGTACAAGGTATCCCTGCGGGGCCCTAAACCCTAAACCCTAAACCCTAAACCCTAAACCCTAAACCCTAAACCCCAAACCCTAAACCCTAAGCCCCAAACCCTTTTGGGTAGGAACTTCAACCCTTCAACCCTGCAGCCCTAAACCCTACAAGTCCAACCCATCATCCTCAGGGCCGGGCACAGCTTTGTTCGCCTAGGGTTTAGGGTTTAGGGTTTAGGGTTTAGGGCTTAGGGTTTGGGGTTTGGGGTTTGGGGTTTGGGGTTTGGGGTTTGGGGTTTGGGGTTTGGGGTTTAGGGCTTAGGGAAGTCGAGTTTGGGGCTTCAAGCGTTCTTCAGTGCGTGTACTTTTTGGCCTGCGCATTTGGTGCTGCTAGTGGTCAGATGTTCGGGTGACCCGGGTGGCCCACGTGTGCTTTAAGCTGCTTAGGCACCGAAGGGCTTTTAGGATTTAGGGACTCCGCTCCCATTTCTTTCAAGAACTCCTTGAGTCTTTGTTTTAGTCTGGGTCGAGGGGTTGGGGATGAATTAGGACTAAATTCGGACCCTCACAAGCTCTGAGCTAGACGAACCAGAACCCCCAAACTTAAACACTCCTAAAACTCTACACTCTATAAACCCTAAGCCCTAAGCCTATAAACCCTAACCCTAACCCCTAGTTTGTCGCTGGGTCTTGACTCAGTGTAAAGTTTGCTCGGATTCTGCCTTTAGGTCGTGAGAGCTTCGCCCCTGAACCCGAAACTCCACAGGGTTTAGGGTTTAGGGTTTAGGGTTTAGGGTTTAGGGTTTAGGGTTTCGGGTTTCGGGTTTCGGGTTTCGGGTTTAGGGTTTAGGGTTTAGGGTTTAGGGTTTAGGGCCTGAAAGTTCAGAGTTTGGAGCTCGACCTGGCCTTGGATTTCTTAAGGTTGTACCCCTTAGGTGAAGATCGGAATATAGGGGCAATGTTTCGAGCAAACTAACTTAAACCCTAAACCCTAAACCCTAAACCCTAAACCCTAAACCCTAAACCCTAAACCCTAAACCCTAAACCCTAAACCCTAAACCCTAAACCCCCCTTCGCAAAGCTACAGCGTCCCTCTGCCTGCGCCAGGGAAAGGCTGCGCTGCGCATCCCCGAGGCTGACGAAGGGCTCACGATACCTGGTTTAGGGTTAGGGTTTAGGGTTTAGGGTTTAGGGTTTAGGGTTTAGGAGTTGGGGGTTGGGGTTTAGGGTTTAGGGCTGAGGGTTTAGGGATATGGGGTTAAGTGTTTAAGGGTTTTAGGGGGTGTAGGGGGTTCAGGGGTTTTGGGGGTTTAGGGTTGGGCGGCATGGGTTCTACCGTTCTACCTGCGCAGCGACCGGAAGTGAGACCCGCAAAGGGGTCTGCTGGCTTAAACCAAGAATCCAAACCTGTACCCGGCCTGTGCCCTAAAAATCCCCGGCCCGAAGCCCCAACTAACACCAAAAGACGCTAAACCCCTCAACCCTGAGCCCTGGTGTCGGGATTCGGGAATTCCACGGGTTGCCCCGATTTGGGCAAGTAGGAGCACTCAGCATGAGCTGAGGCCAGCACTGAAGCCCACTGACCTTGACAAAAAAAGAGCTCCCTCTTTCGATGCAGGGTTTAGGGTTTTTAGGGTTTTTAGGATTTTTAGGGTTTTTAGGGTTTAGGGTTTAGGGCTCAGGGTTTATAGGGTTATGGGTTTAGGGTCTAGGGTTTAGGGTTTAGGGTTTAAGGTTTAGGGCATGCTGGGAGTGCCCTTGCATGCCTGGATCTGAACGATAACGCCCGAGCATGAAGTGCTTGGCTACACTCAGAGGGTAGCTATAAATTGAATTTCTAGCTGCCTTATGAAGAAACCCCAATAAACCCAAAAAGGCTAAGGATCTAAAGTTGCAGTAAAGCACCTAAAGGAAGCCAAAACCTTTTGGGCCTATTGCAGCAGACGCAAGCCCCGGGAGAGCGTTTACACCCTACCTACATCTCTTGAAAGTCACTTTCCTCCAGGGTACCCTGGCTCCCTAAACCCTAAACCCTAAACCCTAAACCCTAAACCCTAAACCCTAAACCCTAAACCCTAAAACCTATAAGAATGAACAAGTCTGGCACGGCACTCAGGACCTGCAATGACACGCTGGGATTTTTTCAGGTTCACCTCAAAAGCCTTCCAAACACCCAGGGACTCAAACGCCCCAAATGGGTTTCGGCTTTATAGGGTTTATAGTGTTTAGGGTTTAGGGGCAAACTTGAACCCCGAAACCCTCAAGCCCCGAAGGCCCGAACCCCCGAAAGCCTGATCCCTGCACCACCCGCCCGCCCTTACACGCCCCCAAGTCTCCAGCCACAGCGAGGGCGGCACCACCAACGCCCAGCCTTTCTAAATGCCGGCCCTGAACCCCAAACCCTGAACCTGAACCCCTAAACCCTAAACCCGACACCCCTCAACCTTTAACCCTACACCCCTATAAGCCCTAAACCCGACACCCCGAAACCCTCAACCCTACACCCCTAAACCTGAACCCCTAAATTTTCAGCCCAAAGCGCTAGACACTCAAGCTCAAGTGCCCATGGGCTTTGGGTTGGAGAATCTGGGGTCGATAGCTTCAATGGCTTAGGGTTTGGGGTCGAAGCTTTCAATTGCCTAGAAAGGCCTGCAGTGGGGATGTCAAAGTCTTGGCGGCTGGGGCTGCGGTTGAAGGCTACTGCCAAACAAACATGTATGCTTGACACAGTTTCCACACTTTGCGGTTTCAAAGTTAGGGTTGTGGGTCTTGCGTAGGCCTGAGTTATGTGAGCTTACGGGCAGCTCTAACCCCTGAAACCCTAAACCCTAAACCCTCCAAACCCTAACCCTAAACCCTAAACCCTAAACCAAAAACCCTAAATAAACATGTCTGCTTGATGCAGTTTCCAGACTTTGCGGTTTCAAGGTTAGGGTTCGGGGTCTTGCACGAAGGTCTGAGCTATGTCGAGGCTCATAGCTTGATTGCCGGTGGAGATGTGCGAGTTTACGGGCAGCTCTAACCCGAGACCCTCTACCCTCAACCTTCTTGTAGTGGAATCACTTATTGAAAGGCTCTCCGTCAAAAGTGGCCCTAGTCAAGAACCATCCCCCCTGTGGTGGCCGTACCTAGGCCATGGAAGAGTGGTGATCAGGGTTTAGGCTTGTTCTAAGCAGTTGTGTGTCTAATGTCCAAAGAAGGTCCATGAAACCAGCTAAGCTGCAAATTGACCATGCCCTAGACCCGCAAACCCGAAAACTCCAACCCATAACTCCAAACCCAGCCCCCCTAAACCCTACCGGTAAACCCCTAAACCGCCCTTTTGTTAACTGTACCAGCCCTGTGCGGCCCTGGCAGATTCGCCCAGATCACCATCTTCGCGAACTGCGGCCTGACGTCACACAAGTTGGTGATAACTCGGGTTTAGGGTTCAGGGTTCAGGGTTTAGGGTTGAGGGTTTAGGGCGTAGGGTTTTTGGGGTTAGGGAGGGAAAAGGTCTTAAGTGGGGGTTGGGGCTTTCCAGATGGTCACTTCTCGAAAATATGACCCCTTTTTGGGTCCTTATTCTAAAGCGGCACCTCTTATTCAGGCTGCCCAAAACGGTTTAGGGTTCAGGGCTTAGAGAACTGAAACCCTTAACCCTAAATAACCCCTAAACCCTACACCCTACACTCTAAACCCCAAACCCTCAACCCTAAACCCTAAACCCTAAACAAACGACCATGTCCTCTCTCAGACACCTTGCAAGACCTAAACCCTAAACCGTAAACCCTAAACCCGACAGATTCGGATCGGCTGCGGGTTTGAGGGGGGTAAACCCTAAACCCTAGACCACGCGCGGCCCGAAAACACGGTCGAGTCCTTCGAGCTAGGCCTAAACCCTAAACCCTAAACCCGTAACCCGTAACCCTAAACCCTAAACCCTAAACCCTAAACCCTAGGGCCCTGACGACAGTGGAAGTGAGCACAGGTGCACGCCAAGGGCCTCGGAGTCCGTCACAAACAGTGGGTTTAGGGTTTAGGGTTCAGGGTTCAGGGTTCAGGGTTTAGGGTTTAGGGTTTAGGGTTTAGGGTTTAGGGTTTAGGGTTTAGGGTTTAGGGTTTAGGGTTTAGGGTTTAGGGTTTAGGGTTTAGGTTTAAGGGTTTAGGGTTTAGGGTTTAGGGTTTAGGGTTTAGGGTTTAGGGTTTAGGGTTTAGGGTTTAGGGTTTAGGGTTTAGGGTTTAGGGTTTAGGGTTTAGGGTTTAGGGCTTAGGGTTTAGGATGTAGCGATAAGATTTAGGGCCATAAAAAGTGTTTTTCCATGTGTTAGGATTCAGGGGCTCTCCTCCTTTAGGATTTAAGGGTGGGAATAGCATTTTTCGTAATGGTTAGGGGCTCTCCTCTTTGGGAACCAGAATCTCCCCCCCTCCTTTGTAGGGCTTAGGAATAGGAATTTAGGGATAGCAACTGGGAATCAGACTTAGGGATCCCCCGCTCTTTAGGGTTTTGCGATAAGACGGATGAAAGGGATGAACCCGATTGAAACTGATGCCTTCCTTCCTCTCCTATTCCACTTTCTGTCTCCTGCTCATATGTAGTAGTGATGAGAATTTTCGAGGGCTGGAATGTGATGAGAAGAGGAAGGGTAAAGGGTCTCTTCCTTTTCCATCTATCTCTCTCGCTCCCGCCGCCTCTATTTGCTCTATTTCTGTGATCTCTGTTCTTTTCCACCTTCTTCCACTCTTTCCCCACCCTTGAAAAGACCACGGTAAAAAGAAAAGACACGAGAGGAACAGAGGAGACACGAAGAAGGTAGGGAGAAGGAGAGGTATGTTTTGTGCCATCGAAAGCGATTTTCTACTTCTTCCATCTGCCTCCCTCTCTCATTTTGTCTCCCTCTCCTCTCTCCTTCTCATCTTTTCGGATCTCTGTCGCTTTCGCTCTCTCTCTCTCTCTCTCTCAGTTCTTTTCTCCTCCAGTATGTCATCGTGCCTGTTTTAGGTCTAGGGTTGAGTGTTTAGGGTCTTCGGGCAGTGGTGCTAACCATACATCCTAACGGTCTTGAGGTTTGGGTAGTTGCATAGCATAAACAAAGAGACCCGTCAAATAATACATAAAGGTCCTGGCCACCCTAAACCTTAAACCCTAAACCCTAAACCCTAAACCCTAGACCCTAGACCCTAAACCCTAGACCCTAAACCCTAAACCCTAACCCTAAACCCTAAACCCTCAACCCTAAACCCTAACCCTAAACCCAAAACCGAAACTCTCAGGGAGAATCTCCAGGCTTTGGGCCGTGAGGCCCTGCCGCGGCACCTCGGAGGCCTCCTGCACTGAACATGGCCGCCCTACTTAGGGGCGCCCTACTTAGGGTTTAGGGTTTAGGGTTTAGGGTTTAGGGTTTAGGGTTTAGGGTTAGGGCTTAGGGTTTAGGGTTTAGGGTTTAGGGTTTAGGGTTTAGGGTTTAGGGGGTTCAGGGGTTATAGGGTTCAGGGGCTTAGGGTTTCGTGTTTCGGGCTTGGGGTTTAGGGTTTCAGGTTTAAGCTTTGTAGGGCTTGCCTAAGCCCACCTGAAATCGTGAGACTCATTTGGGTTCTCCAGCGCCTTCTTTGGAACCTCGAGTCCTGTGCCAGCGCTGAGAAATCGGGACCTTTGAGAGTTTAGGGTTTATAGGGTTTAGGGGCATCACCGGCATCGTACAAAGGGGGTCAGACTTAGTACGCGCAACGTGTCCACCATCAGCAACATTTCATGCCACACACACAAAGTAGGAAGGAACAGAAGCCCTGCAGCCTAAATTCTACCCTAAACCCTAAACCCTAAATTAAACCCTAAACCCTAAACCCTAAACCCTAAACCCTAAACCCTAAACCCTAAACCCTAAACCCTAAACCCTAAACCCTAAACCCTAAACCCTAAACCCTAACCCTAAACCCCAATCGTCCTTGTCCTCGTCTTCTGCCACAGTGGCTGCAGTCAGGGCACCAATCCTTGTCGTTTGAGAAGTGCTGTAGCTGGGGATGGAGCTACAATGGCTACGGCGGGTTCTCAAAGTTTGGGTCTTAGAGGGCTGCATGTGGCCGTCAACGCAGCATGACAGCTATGCATGGTGTTAGAAGTGAGAAGGGAATGAAGGCATTTGGGTATATCCTATGTAATCCTTTACGTAAGCAGTGCCGGAACTCTGCATGTGCCTTGTCCGGAAGAGGTAGCCCGGTAACCACATTGACATTAAGGGTACCCTGATGGTGGTGGCTACTTTGATACAGGATCTCTTGGCTGACTTCTGAACCCCTCCTAAAGTCTAACTTTTGGGCTCCTTATTGTAGTTCCTACAAAAAACCCCAAAGGCTAAAGTCCTAAGAGCCAGCCAGAAGAAAGCCAAGTCAAAACCCAGCGAGGCAGAGGGGTAACACTGCGCTACTTATAGGGTTCTTATAAGGGAGGGGGGCTCAAGGGGGGGTATCTAACCCTAGGGCTCCCTTAGGTTCCCCAAGGCTCCCTAAGCTTCCCTCAGGTTCGCTAGGTTCCCTAGGTACCCTAAACCCTAAACCCTAAACCCTCTAACAGCAAAGCCAACCCAGCGCAGTTGAGGTTTCGACTCGCGCAAGAGCTGCTGAGCATTGCGCACCTGAGATCTCTACGCCGACTCTAAGATCAAGCTACCGTATATGTTCTGAACTTTACACGCTAAACCTATCCAAAACGCAAAGCCATCCACATCCACCCCACACCCTAAACCCCAAACCACAGAGGCCAGATCCTCCAGCTGGGCACCTAGAACCCCCCCCTCCCCCGATCGGTGTAGGGGTTTAGGGATTTAGGGGTTTAGGGGTCTAGGGGTTTATATAGGGCTTTAGGGGTTTAGGGGTCTAGGGGGGTTTTAGGGGTTTAGGGTGAGCCGGAGCTCCTAAGGCACCTTTTATGATCACGGAAGGCAAAGCTACTTGGAGGTTCATGGTACTTACTAACAATTTAACGATGACTGTGCTATAAAATGTACTTGTAACCATATTAGGGCACTTAAGGGACTCATAAGTGGGTTATAAGTACACTTATAAGTAGTCAAACAAGTACCACGAGCCTCCAAGCACCTGCCAAGCTACCTGCACCAGGCGGGGACATGCTTTGTAACAACCGCCCGGAGACCCTAAAGTTTAAATTTCAAACCCTAAGCTTGAAATTCCCGAAATTCCTGTAAACCCTAAACCCAAAAATCCTCAGGCCTGTAGACCCCTGAACCCTGATTTTGAAACCCTACGGCAAGACACCACCGTCCCCCCGCAAGGTTTTCTTCTCCTTGAATCCTGAACCTTAAGCCCTCAACAAGGCCCTTTGAGCTACAACCCTGAAGGGCAGACTTTAGAGAGCCGCTTGTCCTGAGGCTCAGGCACTCCGCTCCTGCGACGCAGTGTTTGGAAAATTTGGGGTTTGTGGTTTCAGGAACCCTAAACCCTAAACCCCAATTCTAGGGCTGAGGGGATTCTGCCACATGTGGGGGCCTAGAAAGGGGGACTGATTTTGTAGAAGTCCCAATTCAGCCACGCCCCGCTCACTCAGGAATAACTAGACCTGTTCTTGATTGCATTCACTTGCGAATCCTAGTTGTGGGCTCAGCTTGGAGGCTGCAGGTCCGCAGTGAGACCAAAGATAGAGAACCCTTAAGCCCTATAAACCCTCAGAGCATTGGGTTGGGGCCCTGTGGTTGCGCATTTTGCCATGTGAAGGGTCTGTCCCTAACCCTAAACCCTAGCCCTAAACCCTAAACCCTAAACCCCAAACCCCAAACCCTTGATCCCGAAGATCGAGGCGCCCCCAGGCATGTATAGCATCCCAAACTGGGGTTTAGGGTTTAGGGTGTGGGGTGCCAGGTACTCAACACCCTAGGACCCCAAACAAGTGGCTGCTTGCAATTGAGACAGGGATGCCTCGGGGGGGTCAGGGGCGCCACGCAAGAAGTCTTCCACGGACACCTTGCGGTTGAGTAGCGACAGTTTGGGGTTTCGCGTGCAGGGTTTGGCGAAGGACCTTTCATTCCTAAACCCAAAACCCAGAACTCCCTAAGCCCTAAACCCAAAACCCAGAACTCCCTACTAAGCAGCTCAGGACAGGCAGGTTCATTGCTTAGATGGCCTAGCAGCGCAGCTTTCTGAGAGTTGAGCTGCATAGGCGAGCTCCATTTCAACCCCAATGCACAGAACCAATCCCTCCATCACCCTCTGACCCCTTGGCTCCAAGGAGTTATATTCTTGGAGGGTTTTGGGTAAAAAGACCCAGCCTCGTGCTAGTAACTGGGGCGAGAACTCACTGGCACAGCAAAACCGGTGCAGGAGTTCATCTTCTGCATTCTGTCGTCGACGGCGGCGGGCGGTGTTGTGTGCAAGTTGCGTCTTGCCAAGGAGCCTTCTTGAAACTACCATTCTAAGCCACTAATTAAGCCGAAACCTCGCAAAGCCCAATACAAGACCCCAGAACCGAAACCCTAAACCCCTAAACCCCACAACCCCAAGCCCCCTAAACCCTAAACCCTAAACCCCTAAAACCCTAAAACCCTAAACCCCTAACCGCCTAAACCCCTAAACCCCTGATCCCACCAAAACCCCAAAACCCCTAAACCCCAAAACCCCCGAAATTCTAAACCCCTTAATCCCAAAACCCCCAACACCCCCCAAGACCCTAAACCCCTAAACCCACCAAAACCCCCTAGAAACCCTCCCCGAAACCCCCAAAAAACCCTAAACCCCAAAACCCCCATAAAACCCTTAGCCACAACCTGTCGGCTCTGGGGCACTGACGTCCTGTCGCCCCTGCCTCGTCAGCACCAGCTGAGCATGAAGGCCTCAGGGCTCGGGATGTCGTCTTAGGGGTTTAAATTTGTTTAGGGTTTATAGGGTTTATGGTTTAGGGCTTATGATTTAGAGCTTAGGGTTTAGGGCTTTGAAGTTTAGGCTTTAGGGCTTAGGGTTTAGGGTCGGGATACCCTAAACTCTGAAACGTGAACAAGCAAGTTTAGGGTCTGAGGGCTTCGGGTTTCAGGTGTATGGTTTAGAGGGTTTAGGAGTATTCTACTTGAAGCCCGAATCCTAGGGGTCAGAGTTGGTGGGCTTCAGGTGGGACGCATGTACCTAAGGAGTGCAAATGCCTGGGCACCCAAAAAAGGCACCATGTCAGAAGAACTGGGGAAGCCCAGGTAGCCCAGGTAGCTATGCACGGGCCGGCTTAGGGCTTAGGATTTGGGGGTTTTAGGGGTTTTAGGGGTTTAAGGGGTTTTAGGGGTTTTAGGGGTTTAGGGGTTTAGGGGTTTAGGGTTTTAGGGGTTTTAGGGGTTTTAGGGGTTTTAGGGGTTTTAGGGGTTTTAGGGGTTTTAGGGGTTTTAGGGGTTTAGGGGTTGTGGGGTTTAAGGGTTGTTTAGGGGGGTTTAGGGGTTTAGGGTTTAAGGAATTGAGAGGCTGAATCCCCAATGCCAAAACTGAGCTTTGCAGGGTGCTCAGGTGGTGACAAACGTCGTCCAGCGCGGAACCTCAGATGTCATGCAGATCTTAGTGGAGACATAAAGGGCATATTCTTCTGAGAAAGTATAGTTTTGGGGTAGTTGCTGGTATGGTTCTACAGGAGTTACACATGCTCTCAAACTGAAGTTCAAAGTACAGCTACCGATGCGCGTTCTGCATGCCGCTCATTCGAACAATCCCACGCACGAGGAGGGGCCCCCTGGTTATAAGTAGAGTTATAAGGGCCCTAAACTGAGTTGTAAGGATCCTAAGTTAGGTTATAAGTCCCTTAACTATAGTTAGTGTAGTAAGTGGACCCCTCCTTGTACCTCTCACTCTCGTCATTGCGGGCTTTTGCCCACCCCGCCCGCCCCCTCAAAGTCGCAGCCAAGACGGAGATTTGTGTATACACAGAAAATGTACATGTCGCCAGATCTCTACACGAGGGTCCCTTTTTGGGCACCCTAAAACAAAAGGGGCCGCCATAGAATGGTAACATCAAAACAGACAATCATAGAAGTGACCATATGCAGATACGAAGCTTGTTTTGGGGATTCTGATTAGGGTTTAGGGGGACTGTGCGGGGCCTGACCCCGAACAAGAACACTGTGCCCAAAGCAGGAGAGCAATAAAGTATGCGTAAGACTATAGCTCTCGACGCAACCATATGCCTCTAACCATAACCAGAACAATATCTATAGCTACATTCTAAGACCAAGAACCCTAAACCACAACAGAACCCACAAAAAAAATCATAAGGTCCAAGGGCTTCCGGGCAGGCGCTCTGACAAAAGCATGGGATTTAAACCCTAAACCCTAAACCCTGTCTCCCCCGAGCCCACATTTTTCACCTCTGCCTGCAGCTTTCCTGCTTTCGCTACAGTGCTACAGATAGGGTGAGGTATGGTTAAACCCTAAACCCTAAACCCTAAGTTGTCTTAGAGCATGAAAAGTTGTAGTGTGCAGTCTATAGCTTGGAGTCGTAAAGTTTAAGGTTATATAGTAATCACAGTAGCTATGAGGGCAGTATGCTCGTCTCACTGAGTAACACCAGTAGACCATGGGGGCCTTAATAAACAAGATATGTTTTGTTCTTTATATTTTTTTGGGGGGTTAGTATTGTATTAAAATATAGGAACCATAAGGAAATGCGATTAATCATGATTCCGAGCCCCCTGTATTAGCCGAATTGTTGCCTCTCGACTCCTGTTTTGCCCCCCGGACTGTCCACACCGAGTCTGCATCTCAAGCTAGGAGGTTGCCAATGGGTTCAGGATTCAGGGTCTCTCAGGGTTTAGGCTGAAGGCCTGCAAACATGAGTCGGTCTGTAAATCCCAGACCCTAAACGCTAACCCCCTATGCCCTGTGAACCCTACTCAACCCTAAGCCCGAAACCCTCCCTCACCCTGTGAGCAGCGGGCGGAGCATTTCTGGTGGGCGATGCCCATCCAACATCGCCGCCCTCGCAGTTTCGGGTTTCGGCTTTAAGTTTCACAGTGTACTTAGGGGTCAGGGAGCCGAGTAGGACATCACTCATGTTGCAGTTAGAATGGCCCACACGGAGGGCACTTGCTGCTTACAAGCTGCGGATGAAGTTCCCTGAGCCATGAAGCAGGCTGGAGGCTACTTCGGGATCACAAGTCTCATGTTTGAGAGCTGTGTGTGTGTGTGTGTGTGTGGGTTTGGGGGGAGGGGAGGGCGGGAGCATGCGGCTTGAAGTTCATCGTTGCTCCCTAAACCCTAAACCCTAAACCCTAAACCCTAAACCCTAAACCCTAAACCCTAAACCCGAAACCCTAAACCCTATACCGCTCAACCGCGAGGACCAGGTGCATAAGAGGGCACTGCGGGCCTCCGCGAGGAGAAGACGTGGTAGCAAATGCCAGGCCTCGAGACAACCCGACTGCTTAAAGGCCGTTGGGTTCGAAACCCCGAAGCCCCTAAGCCTCTAGCCCCTAAACCCTAAACCCTAAACCCTAAACCCTGAACCCTGAACCCTAAACCCTAAACCCTAAACCCTACCTGTAACACACACACACACACACACACACACGCTTACTTACTTACTTACTTACTTACTTACCTACTTACTTACTTACTTACTTACACTTATCCTCAGTGTTGTCAGAGAGGGGCCTTAGGTCATGTGCTGGCATGGCCGGAAGGATCTTTTCAAAGTGGGACTGCGGGGGCTGGAGGCTGCTTTTGGAGGCTCAGGAACGGAGAGCAGAGGAAACTGTGCCCGAATTTCATCGTAAGTTGACCTTGAACCCTAGACCCTAAACCCCAAACCCTAAAGCCTAAACCCCAAAACCCCAAACCCTTAACCCTGCTTGAACTTCGACTGCCTCCCCTAAAGCTCTGGGCCGGCCGCCCGCAGCGTAGCGATGCAAAAAAAGTACGAACTTCCCTGAGGGTTTAGGGTATGGGGTTTAGGGCATGGGGTTAGGGCTTGGATCATTCAAGGACTCAGGGCTTTGGATGTCTTAGACAACCAGCTTTGATTTGGTCAACGATAAAGGAATGAGGTATGATAAATTTGAAGACACGTGCGCATCATCAAGTTCCATGCCTCCGAACTCTCGGAGGTGGTGGAAAGAACCCTAAACCCTAAACCCTAAACCCTAAACCCTAAACCCTAAACCCTAAACCCTAAACCCTAAACCCTAAACCCTAAACCCTAAACCCTAAACCCAGCTTTTTCACGTGGGCGACTGGGCCGCTTCCTTGCTTGCAAGATACTTGCAAGCCACAACCTTCGTTGACGGGTCTTTTTAACAGCTCTGGCAGTAGTCTTCTTCTTAGAGAAGTGCCAGAGTAACTAGACCTACTGTAATAAATTCCTGTGGCAGGCTGGAAAATTAAACGAGGCCTGCAGCAGAGAAGTGCAACGCTCCCCAAACCTTATAGCCATAAACCCTAAACGCTAAACCCTAAACCCTAAAATCTAAACCCTATTGTATTCTCTGATGCTGGCCAGCTGTCCTGGATCTGAGCAGAATCCTGCAGCAAGGTGCTCCCCAATAGGTTTCATCAAGGGTTTAGGGTTTAGGGTTTAGGGTTTAGGGTTTAAAGGGGACTTCCGAGTTGTCTTCAGCTTGCGACGGGACCGAACCTCAGCCCGCAAGCCGCGTTGCAACATGTCAAGCAGGGGTTCCCCTACTTCCCCCCTATACAACCTCCCCCCCCCCCCCCCCCCCCAGGTTCCCCGCATATTTAGGGTTTAGGGTTTAGGGTTAAGTAAGGCTGTTTAGGGATGCCTAGTTGAGGTTGTCTAAAGGGGAAGGGTTAAGTAAGGCTGTTTAGGGATGCCTAGTTGAGGTTGTCTAAAGGGGGAGCCTAGGAGGGGGTAGTATAGAGGGGGGAGTAGGGGAACCCATAAGTCAAGTAGCTCCATCTTTGTCTTAGCGGCTCTTAGTACAATGAAGGGCCCCCTTACGACAGCAACTATCGTGTTACGTTAAGGGACTTACGACCTACGTTGGGATGCTTCTTAAAGTTAGGGTCCCTATAATTCTACTTAAAACTGGGAGGGTGCCCCTCCTTGTGGGGAATGAGGGAATTGGGTACCCTATATAGCATCTCTAAAAGGGTATATAGGTATACAGGGGGATGTGAGGGGGCTGTTGAGACCTTGATTACCCACCACTGAGCTTCAATAGGCTTAGATATTGGTTGGGGCTCCTTTGGCTCTCTGGTCCCTGCAACGACCCATCCAGCCAAAATGGGAAAGCGCTGCAATCATCTGTTGCAGCGCTGAATTCAGCCAGGAGCATAGGCTCAACTTGCAGCTAGTGATTGGCACATTGCCCCAAAGTCTGTCTATCGCAAGCTTTGGGGACACACGCACATGGGGATTGTTCCAATTGACCGTTCCTTCAAAGCTCCTGTTTATAAGGATACGATTCTTAGAGGTCTCAAAGTCACCATGTAGGGTTCAGGGTGGCCTTATTTAGAACAACCCCCACACAGACCGGGTGGCGGATCGAATGCGACAGCTTAAGCCCAGGTCGTTTGCGCGTCCATGCTTTCTGCCGCACGCAGCTCAGGCTGCACATAGCACTTCGCTGACCTCATTTTTCCCAAGGACCCTGAACCCTAAACCCTAAACCCTCACCCTAAACCCTAAACCCCAAACCCTAAACCTAAACCCAGGTTTGCATAAGGAAGGCCCAAGCCCAACCTGGGCGAGGGCTTTGGGCTAGGGCTTGGCTTTTGGAGGCTCTCTTTGTTCCGCTCTTCTGCACTTTAAGAGTTTAGGGTTTAGGGTTAGGGTTTAGGGTTTAGGGTTTAGGGCTTAGGGTTTAGGGTTTAGGGTTTAGGGTTTAGGGTTTAGGGTTTAGGGTTTGGGGTGTAGGGTGTAGGGTGTAGGGTTTAGGGCCTAGGGTTTAACATGACCCAAGAGTAACTTAGAAACAAAAATGGGTGCCCTTTCTGGTTTAAGGGAACCTCAATCCCAAAACAAGAAATAGCGGCCCCGTAATGGCCTACTCCGGGTCCTAATGAGGCAACTTTCTTGATGAGTTTAGGGTTAAGGGTTTAGCGTTTTGTGGCAGTCGGCAAGGAGTGCTGCGAATACCCATGTTTTGGGCAAGGTCGCCATATGAATGGACATTGTTACCCCTCCACACCCCCAAAGACCCCAAAGACCCTTCAACGGGGCCCTAAACCCTAAACCCTAAACCCCAAACCCTAAACCCTAAACCCCTAAACCCTAAACCCCCTAAACCCCTAAACCCCTAAACCCTAAACCTCCCCCCTGACCTTAACAGCCCTGATCTTCCAAGGTCCAAAGTCCTGGGCACCTAACATGCCCGGGTCTCCCTACATACCTATTCTAAACACGTTACTATGTACAACTTTAAGGCTTAAGGTCAGGGTTCAGGGTTTAGGGTTTGGGGTTTAGGGTTTAGGGTTTAGGGTTTAGGGTTTAGGGTAGATAGCTTCCCCCTGAAGGCCAAGCACCTACGACCTTCCGCACCTTTTTCAATCCCGCTCTGAGTCGCGAGGCTCTCTTGGATGGAGGCTCGTGCGCGACTACTGCGACTCTGAGAGCGCTTAGGGTTTAGGGTTTAGGGTTCAGGGTTTAGGGTTTAGGGTTTAGGGTTTAGGGTTTAGGGTTTAGGGTTTAGGGTTTAGGGTCTAGGGTCTAGGGTCTAGGGTTTAGGGTTTAGGGTTTAGGATTCCAAAAGTTAAGCTGCACTTTTCCTGAACCCGAAACCCTAAAGCACCTTTCATGCCAGGTTAATCCCTCTCAAGCCCTCTTGAAAAACAACGTTCCAAGAGAAGAGTTAACGATAAACACAAAACCCTGAACCCCGAAGCCTAAAAGCCAATGCTGGGCGGGTAGCCGGGGTGAGATTTCGAGCATCTTTTTTTGCGCACCCCTCAGGTCAGGTGAGGGTTTAGGGTTTCAGGGTTTAGGGTGTAGGGTTTAGGACTTAGGGTGTGGGTTTAGGGCTTAGGGCTTAGGGTTCAGTCATGGTCGAGGGTTCAGGGTTTAGGGCTGAGGCTTCAGGAGGACTCTGCCAGGAAGGTCCCACGCTCCTCCTTCTCGATGGAGTGGTTGACCTCAAGGGTCATGGATTTCGATAAGCTCCCATGGGCGTTGTGTTCGATTCATCCCTTCCGGCCCTTCCCCCAATTTTCCCCCACCCCCCCAACCCCCCCCCCCCCCCCTGACCCCCCAAATTTGCAGAATCACCCATAGTTGGCCCATGTTAGAACAATACACGATCACAGGATATGGGATTGGGCGGGGGGGGGGGGGGGGGGGCGGGGCGGTTAATGTTAGGGCAGGGGATTCGGATCTTTTTTTTGGCAATCCTTCTTCAGCGGCGACAGCTTAAACTCGGTGGGCAAGAGTGTTGGGGTTTGGGGATGAAGGTTGAAGTCCATGACGACTTAGGGCATTGAAGCAGGCCACCACGTCTGCGAGACACACTAAGCCGCCCAACCACACATCCAAACAACAAACCAACCATCTCTACACACACAGCCCATGCATGTCCTAAAAGCGTTTTCAAAGGAAAAGACCTGGCCAGGAACAGGTACCTCCCTACCCTCAAAATTAGGGGGGGCAGGACGACTTGGACAATGGGTGTGCTTGTGTGTTTGCCCTCAGCACTGGGAGGGAAAGTTCCTGTAAGTACAGCACAATCTAGGGTTCAGGGTTCACGGTAGCCGAACACTAAAAACCCTAAACCCTAAGGCCCTGGGCGTTGGGATGTTCCCCCATATACGAACAGTCCTTAACAGGGATTCTAGTACCCACCCCCCCACCCCTACCATGATAATCCCTACTACAGGAGTCCTTAATAATAGGGATTATAGTACCCTCCCCATTTTAATCCCGATTAAGCCAACATCCCAAGCCCTAAGCCCGAAGTGCTAAGCCCTAAGCCCTAAACCCTAAACCCTAAACCCTAAGCCCTAAACCCTAAACCCTAAGCCCTAAGCCCT